GGTGATTTGGATAAGCGAAGACCAACGACTGGATATTTGTTCACTTTTGCAAAAGCTCTAGTCAGTTGGAAGTCTACCTTACAGTCAACATTTGCTTTGTCTACAACAGAGGCAGAGTATATGGCGGTTGCTGAAGCTGTGAATGAGGCTATTTGGCTTCAAAGTTTGCTTAAAGACTTGGGAGTTGGTCAAAAGCACGTCTTAGTGCATTGTGACAGTCAAATCGCTATTCACTTAGCGAAAAATCAAGTATTTCATGCAAGAACGAAGCATATTGATGTTCGCTATCACTTTGTGCGGGAGATTCTAGAAGATGGAACTGTTGTGTTGAAGAAGATCAAGACAACGGAGAATCCTGCAGATATGATGACCAAGGTACTGGCAGCAGTCAAGTTTGAACATTGTTTAGACTTGACCAACATTCTGCATATTTGAGTTGGCGCCGAGAGACGCATTTGGGGGCACCGCTAGCAGTGAGTCGGAAGTGGGAGCAAACATTAGTCAAGGTGGAGAATTGTTAGTTTTTGACTAAGTTTTGTCCCACATCGGATGTGTACCAAAGATGGGTTATTTAAACCTAGTTTTATTTTGTTGGTGAGTTTAGTAAATTTGGCGTTGCGGTTGGTGGTGCCTGGAGACGTAGGCTATTTTCGCCGAACTCCGTTATTAATTTTTGTATTCTTTTTTATTTCTCATTTTTTATTTGTGTTGGCTGATTTTCGTTTGGAGTAGTGTTCGCCATATTTGTTGGTGGGGTATTTTTGTCCGCTGCGCTTGTTGTGATACCTCAACAAGCACTTGGCGAGCCTGCGAGTCGGCGAGGGGTGTTGGCAGGCGGCGATCACGCCTCAGCAGCCTTTAGGACACATCGAGTGGGCGATGGCAACAATGGGTACTCATGTGCTCGCGAACTCAGATTCTTCGTGGATGAACCGATGGATGATGAAAATGATCCTCAATGCCAGATATGTGATCCAAATAATCTCTTCCCTTTTGGACCTACAAAACACTAGTACTTGGATGACACTCACAAATAAGTGACAAAAATCAACTTGACTCGCCATGTAAATCAGAGGGGGAAAAAAAAAACACAAAACAAAAAAAAATACAAAACATTTGGCTAGGAGATAACCATTACAAATCAAACTTTTTTATACTATAGTTGGTATCCGTTTTAACTATTCATTAACATTGGTATCAAAACTTGAATGGGATTCAGTTTTTTTATCAAATTGTGTCTTCTAACTATGATTTTTCGTGAATGGGCATGACCCCTTTCATGTAATTCTTTTATAAGGCTTTAGGAAATTTTATAGTCTCCAAGGTTTGAGTTTTTTACATCAGTTTAAACAACTTTCTCACATAAGAGACATAACGCGAGTCCAAGATAGCAAAATCTTGTTGAAACAAGATAGAGAAGAATATAACACACTCTCGAATTTGAAAAGGTGTTGCATTTACATGCTAAGTGCCTAAAGTTTATTAGATGAGTACAGACATCAATATTTTGATATTTTATTAATAAATGTCGGTTTGTTTTGGACATAAATCTAAAATAAATAAGATATTCAACTTAATTACTAGACTGGTACACCAAGAAAGAACAAGGAATAAAAACACTAGACCTGGTCAACCAAGTAGCCATGCAAACACGCAAAACTCCCCACAGTAGATAGACAATGAGATCCCTCTTGAAAAAAGTCTGTACTGTATTCTCGATCCAGTTGGTCTTTGACTGGAGAACTACACTAGTACTTATGATAAGTATTGAATAGGACGGTGGAAGGATAAGATTATGAGACTCACTGATCGTTGTTGTAATCTAGACCTTCGGTTATTGATGTGTTTTCTTAAGCTGTAAGATAATATAAAACGAACATGTATATTCATTACTTGTTTATTTGATTTGCCAAGGGTGATTTCTATTCTGTTAGGATGACATACTCGGTACTTTGGTAAATGAGGGTGTTTACATGATGTGCTGTTATAAATTATTTACGGTCAGTATGTTCCAGTGAACTGGATTGATGACGTTCCCGAAATGAGCTCATAAAGGAACATTATGTTAAACCCTGCTGGTGGACAATGGTCTGACATAATGGTTAATGAACTGAGTGGTATTAATTTCGGAAATGAATAAGAAGTTGATTAATTACTTTGTCAGTAATTTAATTAATCGAGTGACGTTATTTATTAAACATGGAGAGGTAAATCGGTCAATTAGATTAATATTTATTAGAAGTGGAGCTTCAAATTTATTGAATAAATTATGAGCTAAATGGATAGAGCAATAATATAAGTAATATAGGATATTATACCCACAAAGTTAAGTCGGTCTACGGTACCGATCGAAGAGGTTGGACCGTGAAGAAGCCGAGCTAAGTGGCGGAAAGATCGACCAGTCAAACAGTCGACCAGTCTAACAGCCATGCGGTCGAGCAGTCAAGTCGACCTCAACAGATCGATCACTTTATGGGCTTGGCAGTATTCTGAAGATCGACCTAGTCACAGGCGCGTGTAAGAGCCTCTAAACGAATTTCAGGGGAATATTCAGAGGGATAATCACCCCATGTGCAGAGGACAGGTGGCGAGAATGCATTAGTTGACATCGACAACCACCTCTGACAACTCCCAAGGCCACCTGTGACATGTGCGCGGTGTGTCAGAGTACGGACGGGTAGCTGGGGCAGCCAGCTCATCAAGTCTGGGCATCCCTTAGGTCATGTATCTCACTCCTATATAAAGAGCGGTGAGCCTTTCTTCCTTAACACGATTTTCATTATTTAACTCAAGTATACTCATACACATACTTACTTAAGCATCGGAGGCTCTTCACCAGAAAAACCACCCGGTGTGAGAGTTATTTGCAGGTTTCCAGCGTTCTACCGGCGAGGACAAAGACGATCTATTCCAGACCGGGCCCGGACGCTTACACCTGCATTAATTAGTCTAGTGGAATGTTTTATTATTTAATTCTATTTAGATTAAAGAATTAATTTTATTCCATAATTAATAGTCCATTAGGAGGGGAATATTCCTTCTAGAATATTACCTAGGGTTAGGAGACTAAAGAGTCTTCTAGAAGGTAATTAGTAGTAGGAAGAATTCTATCCTAGATGGAAAAGTATATAGAGTAGAATTAGGATTTCTTAGTCTAATGGGATAAGCCCATATTGAGCACCTCCTTAAGGTCCCTAATGGAACATATAAATACATCATGTCCCAACCTCTGGAACACATGTTATGTTGGCAGATTTTTCCTTCTACATAGAGAGAGAGAGAGAGAGGGGTCGCGTTCTTCGAGAGTTATGGAGATTTGATTATTCGCACCACCAAGATTAATCGAAGTAGGTGTTTTAGGTAATTCATTAGAAGACTTTTGGGTAATATTTATTCGAGCCTTTTATCATTCTTTTCCGGCCATCTTCCACCGTCGAAACCCGCCGTCCCCCGCCGCCGGAAATCGCCACCGCCGTGCATCGCAGCCGAGTCCGCCCGTGCCCAGCCCAGCGTAGCCGCGCAGTCCTTGCCAGCAGCCGCGCACCGCCAGACCCAAGTGTACGTTCCCAGCGCGATCCCAGCGACGCCCAACAACAACCTCGCGAGCCCCAGCACCGCATGCCTGCTCGCGTTGCACCACCGCTGCCCGTCGGAGATCGCGCCCAGCTACTGCGTGCAAGAAGTACGCGTTCCCCAGCCCTCGCGCATCCAAGTAATGTGCCACGCACGTACGCGTGACCCCAGACGCCCGCGCCTAATCCTCGTCGGCACAGGAGTCCCGCCTAGCACGCGCGCGATGTCCTAGCGAGTACCCAGCGGTCGTCCGCATGATCCTGCCATCCGCGCGTCCCGAGCACCGCGCATCGCCCAGCGACCAACGTCAGTCTGCGACCAGCAAACCAGCGCCCAACCCGCATCTGCCAGCGTCCGCAACCAGCCTGACCAGCGCCCGTCCGCGACTTGCCAGCAACCGCACCCAACCGCTGCGATCCCGATCCCGAGATGACCCGAAATTGATTTCGTGCCTCATTCAGCAACTCGATTAGAATCGAGAAAAGGCCAAATCCGTCAGCCCATCGAATTTTGGTGTTCAGACGAACTTCATCAACAGTATTCAGAAACATCTCTGAGTCGGCTAAAATTTTAAAAGGTAATGTCCAGATCCTCAATATAAATTCCGTTGTGTTAGGATTTATTCGATAAGTTTAACACCGTGCATGTCGTTTACGTTCCTAATATAACCCAACAGTTGGCAGTAATTGGTGGCAGGATGGACCTCCGATGGGCGGAGAACGAGAAACTTGCAAATACCTTCAGTGCGTGTGTGTGCGTGAGAGAAAGATAAAAAAGGAGAGAGGAGAGAGATAGGAGAGAGGAGAGAGTGAACGTGGTGGAATTGATACGAGTGTGCCCACTATTTTATTATTTGGTGAAATTACACTACTGCCCTTTAATGTGTTTATTTGCCCATGAAATATTAATAAAGTTACAATCTATCCACTGTAGGTTGGACTATTATAATTTAATTTTGAATTCATCATGTACATTGATATAATTGATCCAATGGTCCATGATTATTCTTATTACTTTCACTATTTACCATTCTCATATGATCCTTTGACATTTAATTATATTGCTAATATTGAGTATAGTTAAGTTGCACTAGAGCTAATTAAATTTAAGTTTTGTTTGTTTTTTTTAATTGAATTGATAAACAATCGCCCCTTAATCAATATACGGACAATAGAATAATACTCACTTACCCACAGTGGACACATGTCTGACATTTTCCAGAATATCCACGTGTACACGTAGAAGGCTGTAATCCATCCACGTCGCTCTATCCCATTTTCTTTTCTCGTCTTTAAAATCCGCTCGGCAACTTCCGTCCTTAACCTTATCAAGAACGCAAAAAACTACGCAGTGGGAATCATTCCAAAAATCTCAATTCATATAGATATCTTATTAGGGTTTACCTTATTCCAATTTCCTTTCCAAAAATGGGGAGCAAAGAGATGAACGTGGTGAGGGGTTTGGATATAGAGAGGTACATGGGCAGATGGTATGAAATAGCTTCTTTCCCGTCGAGATTTCAGCCCAAAAATGGCGTGGACACGAGGGCTACCTACACTCTCAACCCAGACGGCACTGTCCATGTCCTTAACGAGACTTGGAACGACGGCAAAAGGGGCTTCATCGAGGGCACCGCCTACAAGGCCGATCCCAAGAGTGATGAGGCCAAGCTCAAGGTCAGATTCTATGTGCCCCCTTTTCTCCCTATAATTCCGGTCACCGGCGATTATTGGGTTTTGTACATCGACCACGATTATCAGTATGCTGTCATTGGTCAGCCTTCCAGGAGGTATCTTTGGGTAAGTTCGTTATAATTCAGAAATTTTGGACTGTCATCATAATTCTTGAGTTGCTTCTTGTGTAAAATTATTTCAAGTTTCTGTGCATTGATTGTGAATTTGTGATTGATTGTTTAGGTTTATGTAACTGTTTGGGTTTATGCGGCTTTAGTTAGTTCAAGAGGAGGGAATGGGAATAAGCAAACAAACTCTGTCACAGCTAAAGGCCATATAAAATTAATACTCGAATGTCCACGGCACCATTAATGGGAATTGAACAGAACTCAAATTGACTATACTTGGCTACTATTGTGTATTAGTGAAATCGATGTGAGGCTTTCAATGTATTATCATGTAATTGAATTCGCGTGGAAGATGATCGTTACTCTAGATCGCTGATTTTCTCCATTGACGATAGATAACTATTGTAGTGTTTTCACATGTTAGCTCTTTTAGCCATTCAGGAGTCATGATTACGATCTTGGGTTGTCTTGTTCTGCTAGTCTTTGAACTATGTGTGTGCGCGTGCTACAGTATTTGTTATGTGAATTTCTCAAGTCTTGTTTTATGAATTTAACACCTCGTATTGAGTGAATCATGTGGGGATGAAATAATATCCAAGTGTGTGAACTGTGGTTACTAGCAGAATCTGTTACTATTTGTTCATTCAAGTGATTCTACTGCTTTGAAGGCGAAACAAGTGGAGAGTCGGAATAGTTCTTCCTTGCTTTTAGAATATAAGCGAGTGGTTGTTAAGAATACAGCTGGATAAGTTGGAAAATCCTTTTGTTATTAAAATCCAACTTGAAAAGGAAGCAGATGCAAGGGTGTGATATATGACCATGAACTTCTAACTAGCTCTATTTTTTTGGGTTTACAGATACTGAGCCGGCAGCCTAGGCTCGATGATGAAACCTACAACCAGCTTGTTGAGAAGGCTAAAGAACAAGGGTATGATGTCGGCAAGCTACACAAAACGCCCCATTCGGATACACCCCCAGAAAGTGAGAGTGCACCGAATGACACAAAGGGGATCTGGTGGATCAAGTCTATTTTCGGGAAATGAACAGTTGAAGATGCTGCTAATATGTGCGAACTAATGAATGCCAAGTTCAGTAACGGAAGTATATCGTATTTTATTTGAACTGAAGAACCTCTGAGATGTTGTGTAAATGTCTATGCATATTGTCTGTTTACACATTTGGGTGTTTTGAAGTTCCTCCGTGTGCTACGGTTGTATAAAGTATTTAAAATTTCTGGCTTAGTGTTTCCTTTGTTATACAATGTTTTCTTCAATCGGGTTGATTGCCATGTCTGTGTTAAGTGAATTGCAATAATCTTGGTGTTTCCGTGAGACTAAGATGATTCCATGTTGTTTGCTCACTGTGATAAAGATGGGTGGAATTCAACCCTCTTGACGCAAGTGAACCACAGCCCTGAAGGATAAAATAGGAAAGGAAATCCTAGAAGGAATGGAACCAACAAAATGAAAGCTAAAGTTTAATTGAATATTATCGACAGTTGAGGTACATTTTACTTGTACCCATGAGCCACTACAACTAATTGTACCCATGAGCCACTACAACTACAAGACTCAGTCACATAAACAACCAAGTATCGTGCCAGAAACAATGTAAGCATCAACTTGTCGCGGAATGGCATGTCGTGTCATTGCAAATAAATCATGCCAATATACGTGTGGCTATTGCTTTAATGCCGCGCCAAAACCGTTACCATATATATACAGAATTAACAGCCGTGATAAAGGTTGAGGATTAACAATCTGAAGAATCGAAGAGAAGGAGAGAGATAGAGAGGCGAGAGAAAAGAAAAGGGATTATAAATAAAAGTAAATACAAATTAGGGTTTCTTGGTATTTATACGAAATACAAATGGTAACGCAAAACTCTCCGACCGGCTGGAATTCGATAATCACTTTCTCTCTCGCCGTGTACCTATAAAGAATTCTTACACCGGAGGGATTCTCCGATGAAGAGCTTCCAATGCATAAGTCAGTGTTTGTTTCAATCATATCTCAAAGGTAAAATGTAATGATGCGTGTAACAAGAAAAGCTCACCCCCATATATATAGGGGTGAGATACTTGACCTAAAGGGTCGCCCGCTTTGATAGTTGTTTGCCCTAGTCTGCCCGTCCATACACACGCTGTGTCAGAAGTGGCCGTCGCCACTATCTTCTGCACCAATCTTCTTTCACCACGTGTGATGCCCCGTTCGTTTAAAGATTTTTCGGTTTATTATTTATTGTTATTATTATTTTTATTTGAATTGATTGTCTAATCTATATCTATATTAAAAGCCAACATATTTACCAAAAATAGTAGCAAGAAAAGTCAACACACATTTAATGCATACCTTATTTGGAACTTTTTTACTATATGCATTAAATGCTTGCATATTTACATTTACTATCTAGATAAAATCTTAAAAAAAATTCTTAAATAATTTATGCAATGATTTTACTGATATCCATTATAATTAATATTTGTCGAGTAATATTTTCTAACTTTTATTTAATTATATAAAACTAATAATTTTTTAAAAAATTAATATTATTTATCATATAAAGGATAATGATCACATCATTAAATGATTTTATTGATAGTTAGGAATAAAATTAAAATACTATTAGTTATTCTTTAAAATTTTGACATGTCATTTATTTATATATTATTGTCAACTATGATAGTGTTTTTATCACTTTTTTGTTATGTTTCAAAAATGAACTTATTGTAAAATATTTTTCTATTGCATAGTATGTTAAATAAACTATAAAGTCTTAGGATTAAAATTAGAAAAAATCTCTTGATTATGTAAGGGATTTATTTTTGGCAATTGCTATCATTTTTTTTTTTTAAAAAAAAATATTATGAAAAAATTGAATTCTAAAAACATGTTGTGTATTTTGTAAACATTTATACTCAAAATTTTATTTTGAATTTCATTACATAAAGAAGACTACTTCTATAACTTTTATAAATAATAATAATGACATTATATGACTATAAATTTAATAATAAAATAATAATTGAGTATTATATGGTGAACAAGAATAAATAAAATTTTTATCTTTTTTTATATCAATGAATAAATATGTATTCTAAAATCAAATAAATATTAGTATGACGTGTTAGCGGAATTATATATTAATTAACATGTTAATTTTTCAGCTTAAATAAACGCTACTTATTAAAAGATGTGAAATATGGATGTCAAGCCTATTTTTTGTCTAGATGCACAAGTCCTATAAAAATAATTGATTTATTATATGTATCACGTGCACCGCACGGGGTATGCACTAGTTGTTATAAATTATTATTATATAAATTGTTGTGTGGAATATATATATATATATATATATATATATATATATATTTCGGATATATATTTCGGATTAATATATATATAGTCGGTTTATTTTATTTAATTATCCCGGACGTCACGATTGAACCGAGCCTTAATATATGTATGTCGAAGCGTTGGAGAACGGGCCCGAGCGCCAAGCCCAAACCCGTACCCCGCGGTTGCTGGAACCTGACCCTAATGCCTAGGAAATTTTACCCAAATTTTACTAAGAGTTGAGGAAGACTTATCCAAGTTCGATTTCATATTCAATGGACCAAATTTTGGAAAGTTCTTTAATTTTTTTGTTTTTTTATTCTTCCTTTATGGCCGGCTAAACCCTTAAATTGTGCCAATTTATATCCTTTATTTGTAGGGATGTAAATGGGTCGGGTCGGGTACGGGTTTTGACATACCCGTACCCGACCCGCCAAGAAAAACCCGTACCCGTACCCGACCCGTTACCCGGTTACCCATCACCGGGTTCGGGTTGGGTTTTACCCGTCGGGTAATCGGGTACCCGTCGGGTAATCGGGTTACCCGAATTAATAATTTCGGTCAAATTTGTTCGGGTTTTTTTTACCCGTTTACCTGAATTTCACCCGATTACCCTACACTCGACCCGACCCGACCATGTACACAAAAACAAAAAAAAAAAAAAAAAAAAAAAAAAAAAAATGCATTTGAACTATCATCAATCACATAAGTAATATCATTTTTATAGTGTTTAATATGTAAAACATATCAAGTTAAAAATCGCAATCTATATACCAAACTATTTGTACACTTTCTTTTATATTTTTTGTTGATTTAAGAATTATTTTCATAACAAATATTTGAAATTCTTAACTTGATCTTAAAGATAAGGGAATACACAAATTTTAAGCTAGAGAGATCATGATACATAAATAATATTACTTATAAGTATTGATAAATTAAATAAACAAATTATGGGCATATGTAATTGGTAAATTCAATATAATATCGTATTAAATTTCAATAAAATTGTGATTCATAATTACGTTCTACTTGCTATTCATCTAGGATAAAGAAATCATATTGAAATGTATAATAAATTATAAACATTGATTATAAAACATACTACTGAAATTAATTTTTGTGTTTGTTAAAAAATATGCAATAAGATGTACTTTTAAATTCAAATTGACAATATAATATTTATTTGAAATGAAATAATGAGAGATATCAAACAATTGGTAAAAAAATAAACAGATGTATAGATTTAAAAAAAAAAGTATGTTATTAGTTTTGTCGCATATTATACACTATTTTGACGTTTTACGAATTGCCGATGATCATACTCTAAAGAAACAACGGTAATACGTTATAGATATATGCATAGCATTTTATTTGGATAATGCTTAATTACTCATAGTTTGAAATAGAGAGATCACGATACGTAAAATAATACTACTTAGAACTATTGGTAAATTAAAAAAACAAATTATGGGCATAGATAATTGATAAATTCAACATATAGAATTCTCCTATATTCCAATTAAATTACAATTCATAATTATGTTCTACTTGCTCTTCATACATGAATAAAGAAATTATATTGAAATGCAAAATAAATTGTAAAACATGATTATGAAATATAACACTAAAATTAATTTTTGTTTTTGTTGAGTAATATGATGTAATTTGAAATTCAAATTGACAATATAATGTTTATTTGAAATCATATAGCGAGATATATCTAACACTTGGTATTTGGTAAAGACACAACTTCATAGATTTATACATAGAATTTTACTTGGATAATACATAGTTACTCATATTTTAAATATTTGTAAAGATGTAAATATATAAAACAAACTACACCCGTATAAACTTATTATCTTGTTTATTATTATTTATTATATATATGTCATTTATAATAATTAGAGTTATTCTTTTTTTATATAAAAAATATAAATTGATCATATTTATATATGTGATGCTCATACTTATAAAAATAGAAGAAGTAACAAAATATTATGTCCAAATTATATGAATATACTCCATATTCATTTTTCAATATATATAAAAATTTTAAAATATTTTAGTTACTAAATTATTTTTTTTGGAACATATATTTTTTGTATATTTATTTGTATCTATAGTAATTAAGTGTGCGGGTAAAAAATCGGGTCGGGTAGAAAAAACCCACCGGGTAAATGGGTCGGGTAAACGGGTCGGGTAATGGTTTTTTTTGGTAAACCCGTACCCGACCCGACCCGGTCTCCGGGTACAAAAGAAAAACTCAAACCCGACCCAAAACCCGCTCTTATCGGGTATACCCGACCCGATTTTTCGGGTTACCCGCGGGTAACCCGACCCGGTGGGTTTTTCTGACAACCCTATTTATTTGCTATCGAATTTCTCTTGATTTGGCTTAATTTCCAAGCAAATTATTTCCCAAGTTTTATCAACGTACACGTCTCTCTTTTCCCCGTTCATCCTTCCAGCGGAGATTTCCTAGTCTCCTTCACAACTTTAATTGGAAAAAAATAAAAAGAAAAGAGAAATCCCTCTCAATCTCTCGCGATATCTTTCCGGCGACTCTCGTTCGAGGTACAACGGATACAATCTGTCCGTCATCACTGGGGTGAGCGCCCAACGAGTTTCATCGTCGGGTCCACGCAGGCCTGCACATAGTCGCGAGCCCTCAGTCAATTTTCTATCTTGTCGGCGCTCTTCTT